GTGTGTGTGTGTGTGTGTGTGTGTGTGTGTGTGTGTGTGTGTGTGTGTGTGTGTATGTATGTATGTATGTATGTATGTATGTATGTATCTATCTATCTATCTATCTATCTATCTATCTATCTATCTATCTATCTATCTATCTATGTATTTATTTATTTATTTATTTATTTATTTATTTATTTATTTATTTATTTATTTATTTATTTATTTATTTATTTATTTACAGAATACGACATATTTTTTCTTTAGTTCATGGTCTCCAGCCAGTAATATAGCTACTCCAGATTTTAATTAGAGGTTGAAATTTAGTATTAAATATGGCTCCAGCTCCCACGTAACGTGAGTATACTTGATAAAATGTTTTTCGTTTGTGTGTGTGTGTGTGTGTGTGTGTGTGTGTGTGTGCGTGTACGTGTTTGTCAATGTTCATTCAATTTTTTAAAAATACATGGTAATTTATGCAAATTTATTCACGACGACCTCGTTACGATCTCGTATTCAAATATATTTCATTTATGCAAATTTATTCACAGTATCCCATTGTGAAGTCTTCCTCATCTAAAATACCCCCTTCACGGCCGTGTACAATCATTTATGCTACTTTATGCACGGTCTCCATAGTGACGTCATCACATTTCATTATGACGTCATCGCATCCAATAGTGAACAGCGCCGCCAAGGTCGTCTCTATAGTGTAACGTAAACTACTGATATGTTTAGTAAGTCTCTCTTTCAGTACAGAGGTGAAGAGTTTACTCAGACTATTTACAAGAGTAATTCCTCGATAATTTCCTGAGTCAGCACGCTCCCCCTTTTTAAAGATTGGCGTGATAATACCCATATTCCAGGCACTAGGAAAGTGACCACTATTGATGATATGGTTAACAAGTTTTTGTACGGAGGCTTTATCATTTGTACCAGTTTTAATCATTTCATTTGTTATGTTATTTTCACCGGGAGATTTTCTATTCTTTAAAGCACTGATTACAGTTTGAATTTCTAATTGAGAGATATTTTGGTCCAGAATGTCTGGGGCAATACATAGATCTACAAGTTTATTGACATATTAGTTCTTAACGTCGACGTCTTGAGAGGCTCGTTTTTTGAAGGATTTGTCTGTATTTGTAGAAACGAGTATTAAATTGTCAAAAATTAACACGTCTTGTTCATCTTTATACAAATACAAATTGGATACATTCTTCAACGGGGGGGGGGGGGGGTCCCGGACCCCAAGAACCCCCTCTAGATCCGCCACTGGGTACGTGCATAAGTCCCTCGTTAGAACTACTGTGCCAAATTGTTCATATTTACTAATATCTTTTTCCAACAGTCTTTCCAATCAAAGATGCTGGAGTGTTGTGGACTTAAGTAAAGTGTGCAAAGGGAAATGTTTTCATCATGGTTGAAGAAATCGTTGTCTAAACAAGCCCAGATAAAATCTTCACTACTACTTAGTAATTGTTTTATGCCATTTGAATATAGTTTTCTTAATTAAAGACATTTTTTACTCCTGAAAGAGTGGAAATATGAGTATTTGGGGATTGTTAAGTTTGAGTGTCTATCTGCTTTAGTTTCTACTAGGCTAAAACAAACTGAAGTACTAATTCTAGCTATAAAACATGGGTCATTAATTTTTTAACTAAACTATCATAAATATTCCAAGTTGAAAATGTATGACAAGTTTTCTTTGCCGAAAAAATAGCCATGTTAATTAGTTATATTTAGCTCCATCCATACAATAATGCTCGTCATTACAAATTTTGTAAATCGGGGGGGGGGGGTGTTGGCGTCTGCGCAGAGAAAAAAACAAATCCTGTAAAATAAACAATACATCTTGGGTAGACTCGGTGCACAGTCACACGTGAAGTTACATTTGTCGTGCTTGACTGTAATTTGGAGGAATTATCACAGGGTAAGGAATAACCCATATGAAATCTGAGGCCTGGAGGATATTTTTTTTATAAATATTTGTTTTCACGTACTGATTGTTGTTATTTTTTTTTTCACATTTTCCAAATTCTTTTGTAATACGCAGTTATCAGTTTTTCTCACAAAAACTTTCAGTCCATCATCCAGTTGACGGTACAGCTCACACATGAAATGGAATCGTCCACATAGACCGAAGCGACAAAGACCTGTATCCACGACTCACAACCCTATAAACAAACGCCTGCAATTTAATTGGCTGTCGCTACTTATTGATAAATGCAACAATAACAGCGCCGTGCCTACAAAACTCGCAGCTCAACTTCTTCTTGAGACTTGTGACCTAACACGGTTAGACAGCGGGCATTTATTTCTCGGACATTTTACGTCGACCCCCACTGACATTTTGGATCGACAACACAGAAAGGTGGTGCAGTTTGGTCGGCAAGGCCGTGACAGCGATATGGTAAACAAACTTTTCTAAGTTTGCCAAACACCGTAACAGCAGGTTTGTTTTTTGGTGTGTCACTCCTTTGTCGTTATTCTTCAATTTTACTGATGTGTGCTGTTTTCGTTGTCTCGCCGGGGATGTATTTTTTTTTAAATCGCTGAACTTGTGGATTGTAAATCGTATAGTTGTGCCGCTAGTGTTTTATTTCCAACGAGCACTTGGCAATAATGGCGGCAAATCAAACAACGTGTCTCACGAAAGCTGTGTTGCCGTGAGTTGTCACTGCGATCAAGGTATTTCTGATCGATGGCTGCCTGTTTTAAGGCAAAAGGGCAGACAACGAAATGCCGAATGTCGTGTGTTGTACGTGTCATACAGATTTGTGACTTGCGCAATGTTTGTGTTTAACTAAACACAACCTTTAATTTTCTTTCAAAGGTGATTCTATTTATAATTTTTTTTACAGACTATCCGATTCGTTCCAGCAGCTTAACAACTCTTCATATATTTATGATCGTTACCCACCCGTGAATATAGCGGGTTTTCACAAAACCATGCCTACGGCAACAAGTACTTCGGTAAAGAGCTCAGCTGATTCGTCCGTTATGGTTAAAATACAGTAAGTAAGCTAAGAACAAATCAGTTCAAGTACATGATTACACAAAGTAAGAAATCAATCATGTTTTGAAAAAAGTTGGTGAGCAACTCACAGCAGAAACCACCACACCTCTGTCACTGAATTTTAATAAAACTATATAGAATTATTCAATTTTTCACAACTTATTTATGTGGTAAAGTAAGTATATCTTAAAAGCCCAGGTCACTCAGACTACTGTCTTAATAAAATTCCAAATTTTGATAAAGAAAATAGTCAGAATAAATTCATTTTGATTATGGCAAACCATACTCTAGCACCAGCCTTAGCTGTCTTCTTAAAAAACAGCTATGGAACAAAACAGCAACAACTATCTGTGTATTAGGCCACATTTTGTGTTCATTCTATATTCTGTATTCACCATTGGCTGCAAATTGTATTTTTTTGTTTTTGACTTGTTTTATTTTATTTTTTTTAGAAAAGTTTTTATTTTTTGTTTTATTTTTTAGATTGTAGTTTGTTTGTTTTTTAATTTCTTCCTGTAAGACCCTTTTTATCCTTTCCTAAGGATTTTATGCGTCTAATAAAAAAAAAATATATATATAGTAACACAAAAAAATTGACATCACTATTTGGATCAAAGGAAAGTTGTATATAAATAAATTATATCTATCAATTATATATTCTTAATTTGGAAAACTAATTAGGTAATAATTTGTTGTATCATTACATTTTTGCATAACATATGCAATCTCCATAAGTGTGATATCAATGGAATGATAAAGTTTTGATGTTTAATTGTTACCAATGTTACATAGAACATTCAATTCACACACACATACCAGTATATATTTGTGTTCAGTCTTATATCAGAAATAGTTACACACACTGTACTGAATTGTCATGTGATAATTTTTGCATTAATTCAACTGAAGTCTGGATATATAATATATTTATAATTCCAGAGCTGTCAACAGGGATTGCATTAATACCAAAATATGCATTTTGAGTGCAATTTTTGGAATAACACTAAAAAATGTGTACACACAAAATTTTTCAGCAGTCTTTTCAGTATTTATCACTTTGTAGTAACGCGCATCACTATCGCTATTAACAAGGAAAACTAATATTTCGGCAAAGAACCAAGGCTAAAAGTGGAGAAGATGTGATGATGTTTTAGTTACATAGAATGTAGACTTGCACTCAGTTTTTCTTGTTTTTTCAATAAAAAAAATATTATGTGAGTGTATAAATAGCCACATTACAGCAAAAGCTGCAAAACTTGTGACCCTTGCAAGGGTTCCCTTGCATTTAATATTAATAAGCATTTTAATGACAGCACAAATTAGTGTGATTTACATATCATAGGGTTTGATGGGGAAGCATGCATATATACATACAAGTTTAAATTCTTTCAAGATGACTGATTGCTTGCGCATTGACAAAACGAGCATCACAACTTTTGTGTCGCTGAGGACTCAGGTATGCATTTGCATTGTATGTGGGTCAAATATGGAACAAAATTGTAATCCAGGCAGAAAGGCGCAATTTGCAAAGTTATGAACCTTTCACTATCTGTGGGTGCAAACATAAGTCAGGAATCTCGCCAGCCCAATGGGGGTGTCGGTTGTTCATGAATATTAATGATCACTCAATCACAGTGCAAATAATTTCTTTTTATTAGAGTCAAAATATTATGTTTCATAATTTAGAAGAGTTTGGATTTAAAAATGAAACAATTCAAAACATTCTCAAAATGCAGATGTTGCAGACTAAAACAGCAACAAATGTCTATTTTAAAAGGTTAAATGAAACGCATTTGAAACATTTCAGCCAGGAATATGTTCATGAGTTTCATGATCTTATTTACTGCAAAAACACACTCCTTCAACAAATGGACCACATAATTATTTGGTGGATTGTGGTAATTTATCATTCATACCAACAGCTTCTAAATGTTTACCTTTACAGTAATGAACAAACAAATAATATTTCCAAACATCAAATTTACAACAAGACATAACTTACTTTGCAATGTTATATACTGGTTATACGAATAACTCTTCTTACTCAGTCATGATGCCATGCAACAAATTTTACTTCTCTGATTTGATGTTAAATTCAGGTGAAATTTTGCTTAGTTTTATCGTGAGCAAATGTTTGTGATCACTAGATCGCTTTGGTAAAAAAACACAGGTCTACTATGATGTGTGACCCATTAGTTGACCGGCATGTGTGCTTTGACCCAGTGGGTCTGGTTAAGCAATCCGAATGCTGCATGTTAATTTCGGTAAAACTCAAAGTTTTCTGAATGGTACCCGGTAATGATCAAAAAAGTTACATTGCGGAAGTAAATCAATGTTCTAGCACCATGTGTTAGCATAGATTTCAGTTGAAAACTGCATGATAAGTTTTTGAAAGGGCTGAATAGAAAGTTTTAAAAGGTGAAAGAAGTTTGGAAAAAAAGAGTTTTTACATGATTCTTGACTATAACAGTTTTAACAAATTTTAAACACATTGCTTTTTCTCAACAGATTGTGACTTCTGCTTTGACCATGTTATATTGATTTTGAATTTTAGCTTTTTTGTCTATAATCAGAAAGTATTTACTTAAGGCGTGCTAATTTTACGAAATTGACTACCGGTAGTATTGTTTATAAGCTGCTACCACATCATGCGATTAGATCCATTGTTTACAAATTGTAATCTACGATACAAAATTATATTAATAAACAGACAATTGTTATGGTCGAAAGCATTTCTGTGGTGGTCGCTGATTATGAATGCCGGTTGGGGCCGACCACTGCCCACCAGCGTGGTGAGTTAATGACCTCTCGATGTTATTTCTGAAGCCAAGTATTTTTAGTGCACCTTTGATGCTCTTTTGCAATGCCAT